CCCTTTGAATATTCCTTAAATTTTATAAATACCTTTGAGTATTTCGAAAGCCCCATCAAAACGGTAACAATATTTATAAATTTGTTATAATAATATTAACTAATTTCTAAAAGTAGATATTTTTTTTTATTATTTAGTAAACTAAATCAATCTAGAATTAGTTTTTTTATTATAATATAAATTTAATAAAATTGATTTAGTATTTGTATATATAACTTATTAATATTATAAAATACTGAAAAATAGTAAAATTCAAATATTTTGTTATTAAAAAATTATAAATAAAATAAAATTTATCTAGTTTTATTTGTTAAAATAATTATTTTTACTTAAAGAAATACTAAATATTAAATATGTTTTATTTATTAGTGAGATATTTTACTTACTTTTTATTTAATTAAGATATATTTTATTTTAAAATATTTTGTATTTTATTAAAAAAAATATATTTATATAATTTAAAAATAGTATTATTTAAAGAAATAGAATTAGTTTTAGTTTTAGTTTAATACATTTATAAATAAAAAACTAAAAATCTTGAAGACAAATCAAAATTTGGTCATTATTATAAAAAATATTATTTAATAATATTAACAAAAAATACTTTGATATTGTTCAGATAATATAAACTCCAAAATTAATTAAAAGTTAATTGAAATAGATAAAAAGTGCTGAAATTGAACATTTAATAAATAGTGAAAAATAATTCAGTTCGATAAAAACAATTTTCAAATATTTGGATCAGACAGATGAAAATAGTATTAAAAAAATCAGATAAACAACTAAAAGATCACTATATAACTCTAATTATAAAATATAATGGTGGTGCTATTATAATTTGGAAGTTTAACTCATAGTGGAGTTGAAAAACTTGAAAACTTGATAATAAGATAAATGTTAATGTCTATATTAACATATTAAATAATAACTTCTTAGGTACTGTTTATGAGAAGATGGTGAATTTGTCTTTCAGCAAGATAATAATCCTAAACACACATACAAAAAAGCAAGATAGTGATTTATTGATAATAAAATTATCTTGTTTGATTGACCCATTCAGTTATCTAACTTAAATTCTATTAAAAACTTGTGGAATGAGGTTGATACATGTATGTGCAATCTTCCTAGCCCACTTTTAAGTAGAAACGACCTGTGGGAAAAGTCAAAATAGCTTGAGAAAGCATCAAAATTGATTATTGCGAAAAGCTGATTAATTCAATGTCAAAGAGGATTAGAAAAGTAATAGAGGCAAAAGATAGGTATATAAATTATTAGTTCTAAATTAATATACCAATTTTAATTATATTTATATTTTCTTGAAAAAGAAAAATTTATCTTTTTTATTTCATCCAGATCGGTCATATTACATGAAACATTAAAAAAAAGACATTGTTGTAAGCAATAGATCGATGAAAATTTTTATTAAGTGATAATAAATATTATTTGTTCACGATTCTTCAATGGCGAGATATTTGAATCTTGCCATTTTTTTTTCGGTGTTCCGTAACATTAGTGAGTCTGTACTGTACAGTGACTCACTAATGTTACGGAACACCGAAAAAAAAATGGCAAGATTCGAATATTAGTGCTCCGATTCGAATCACTCAAATTGATTCGAATAATATCCGAATCTAAAAAGGTGATTCGAATATAAATCGAATATTTATAAGATTCGAATCAAATTAATTACACTACTATAATTATAGTGATAACTAGGATTATAGCATAATGATAAACTATACATGTACTATACTGTCTTGATTTTTATACTGTACGTACGTACTATGTTACAGAACTAGATCAGTAGTGCAGTAATAGACTGTATACGTACTGGACTGGATGGGTTCAGAATATAGGTTATTTTAAGATTTATCCATGCTGATATTCACATTATCGTTATCATTATCCGTTCCCCCCTAAATCAAATTCCCGAATAAATCGATTCGAATTTTAAACGAATACGTACTACGTACGTATATAGAGCAAATTCGATTAAGGAGCACTACGAACATCTACATGCACATGTATGTACGTATATCTAAACTTAGCTGTCAAACCAGAGACGCCAAGCTTAATACGAACGTGTTATCAATTTGCAACACATCGTTAACGTTAAAGATAAATGAAAAAAACTACAATGAAAGCTGGCTTATTATTGACTTCACACACTAATAAATTGGCAAACTTTTATGAAAATGCCAAATTTTGTGACATTTCAATCATTGTTGGAGACATTCAAAATACTGAGCGGACTTTTACAGCACATTCGTCAATATTAATGGCGCAGTCGGAATATTTTGCTACTGCTCTTTCTGATGCATGGGTAAGACGAGAACCTAACAAACTAATCGTCTTTAAAAAACCAAATATTGAACCACGTATTTTTGAAACCTTATTAAGGTAATCTTTATTTTTAAATAATGTTTAGAATTACACATGTATTAAATTGAAATTAATCTGTGTCATCATTATATAAGATATATGTACAGTGGCAAAATCGATTTGTCAGATTATGAAGTGCCAACGCTTTTAGGTGTATTAGTTGCTGCTGACGAGTTGATTCTTGAAGATTTGATTGAATATATTCAAGATTATCTTTTGGAGCAGTATTCTGAATCCATGGTTGAAAATTTCGTTATGGTTAATCAAGTTGCTTTTCAACACAACTCCTTTCTCAAACTCCAGGAATTCTGTACAGAAATTGCATGTAGAAATCCGGCTGCGGTTTTTAAATCCAGCGATTTTACAAACATTCAAGAAACAGCAATCATCTCTTTGCTCCAAAGAGATGATTTAAATCTCAAAGAAATTGAAATATGGGAAAAGGTTCTTGAATGGGGAATGGCTCAAGCATCAGCTTCTGGAAACGTCGATTTATCGATTCCAGTGGATCAATGGTCACAAAGCGAATTCAATCAACTCAGCGCTACGCTCAAAAATTGTCTATCATTAATTCGTTTCTTTCATATAAACTCTGTTGATTTCTATAACAAAGTGATGCCATACTCGGAACTATTATCGAAAAAACTTTACAAAGATTTATTACATCATTACTTAGTACCCGGAAGTGAGGAACAACAAGTGTCACTTCACCCCATCCGTAGTTCGCACAATTTAACATCAACAATTCTTTCTCACAACCAAATAAATAAAATAACTCAATGGATAAAAGAACAGGATAGTGAAAAAAATTATCGATTCGACTTTAACCTATTATTACGTGGCAGCCGAGATGGATTTACTGCTAGTGATTTCCACCGTTTATGCGATAATAAAGGCCCAACCATTATTGCTGTCCGTGTCAAAGATTCTAAGAAAATTATCGGTGGTTACAATCCGATTGAATGGAAATCTCATGATCAATATTATACAGGATTAGCGAGCTTTTTATATAAGTTTGAGTTGAGTGAAATGGGATCAAATGGAGTTTTAAGTAAGTATGAATTTAGTACTAGCGTATCTAACAATCTAAATAGAGGTCCTTGTTTTGGAAGTGGTTATGACCTTGCTTTGTTCACTGCTTCAGGTAATTATTGTATTAAAAATTCTTATGAGTTTGGTCTTTTAAGCGAAAACAAAAAAATATCTTTTGATATTGAGGATTATGAGGTTTTGCAAATAGTTAAAAGATGAATATTTTTTAGTCAATTTTTTTATTTCATAGTTTTTTTTTAGTTGTCGCTTAAATTTTCAAGAAATTATCTGTTATACAAAAAATGTTATATAAATAAAATAAACGGTAAATTTATCTCTTAGCGTTATAGACTATGAGCCTTAAAAGAAGAATCTCACCAGAATTGAATGGCATCAATAAAATGGCCTAAAATTTCGGTGGTCACTGTCAAGAGGATATAAGATTACTGCGTCATATCATATTTTGATATTTAACGAATAATAATGAAATACGTACAAAGTGTACATATTAAAAATTTCGATACTTTATATCCAGTGCAACTGCTTCTGAGTAATCTGAAACCACCGCTGATTGGTTAATCTCCACAAGCTCTGCTCTTTCACACAATTATCTCTTTTATCCAATATATAAAGTTGATTGTTGTTTCCGCCAAGCGTTAGGAGTAAGTTAATTGTGTTTTTGTCTGGTTTGAAGGTAATTTTTTTGGATCCAAGTACATGTATATGTCGCACATCTTGTAAAATGATTACGTAAAGTTAATACATGTATCTTTTGCATATTTGGTTTGTTATCCATGGTACATGTACCTTCAACCATGTTGGCGATTTTGATGGAAATGTGTTACAGTTTGATACGTAGTATTCGATTTCTTGGTTATTTGTGTTATACATAATCAACCTCATCTCTTTAGAAGTGGATCATAGAATATCAACCTCATCTCTTTAGAAGTGGATCATAGAATATCGATATGTTGTGTCTCAGATCACAGATCACAATTCACGTGTTCATTTTCGACCAACATTAACCCATCTCCCAACATTAATGTTAACCAAACATTAACTCTAGTAATACCCTATCTTAATTTGGGCTGAGTGTGATCTGAGGCGAGTTGTGATCTGAGGCACAACAGATATTTCCGGGAAAATATCGATATGAATCAATTAAACTCAATTCTGTTAGTACCGATACATGTACATATGTAGTTTTGTCTGTTGTTCATTTTATTCGATGAAGAACTAGTTTTAACATTTTCCAACTGACTGAATCATAGGTGCATTTCATGTATTATAAGACGTGTCATATTTTTCTTGTGTTCTTTAGTAAACAATTTAGTAAGTGAATTAGTATACTAGTAACTGTGCTTTTAAAACAGAGAAGTTATTGTCTTTTAATATATTGTTTTGTGAGCATTTTTTTGAAATTTGTTGTGTGTTATAATATGTAATAAGCCTTTTCTAATAAGGCAATTGATCTTGTGATATCCAAAGTTTTCTTTTCAGTATGTGGTTTTGGAATAAGAATATTTGCATTTTTTCATTCCTGAAATATATCTTGATAAATTAGATATTTGATATATAAGTTGAGTAACTATAAATTTTTGCAAATTTTTATAATAAAATATTTTGTATTTCTAAAATCCAAATACTTTGTGTAAAAAAGAAAATTGAGTATTGTTATGAATTCAATTTCTTTAATGAAAATAATTAATTTATATTGTTTTTTACAAGTTTTTAGAATATATAATTATATTATATTGATATTATTACAATTATATCATAAAGATTATTAATTTTATAATTTATAACAAAGTATGAAATAATAAAAATCAAGAATTTAAAACATTTTTAATTATATATATTTATTTTATTTTTTATTTTTATTTTATATTTTTATATTTCTCTATATTAATAATTTATTTTATTATTACCTATTTTTTTATTTGATTATTTTTTTATTTTTTATTTATTTATTTTAATAAATATAATTTAGTTAATTATAAATTTTTGTAATATATATCTATTTATTTTTCTTCTTTCTATATTAATAAATTAAAATTTTATTTTTAGTTAATATATTTATTTTTATATTTACTTGTTTTTATAATATTATATTAGTATTTATAAAAAATATATAAATATAAGTTATAATTAAATTTTAATTCAACATATTAAAACTTGAAAAAAATAATATAATAAAACAAATATCTTTTAATATTTTGTTATATAAATAATATTAAAATAAATTTATTAATTGTTATAAATAAATTATATCAATTAAAATAGTTTTTAATTTTAACTTTAATAAAGCTTATTTTTTATTTATTAAATAATAAAAAGATCTAAAGAGCTAGAATACAGAACAAAAATATTTAAATTACAAATAAATTAATAATAAATAAAGAGTAATTAATTCTAAATTATTAATCTTAATAATAATTTATATTGTACTTAATTAAATATATATAAATATAAATAATAATATAAATATTAATAAAAATAATTAACACAAATTAAAAATAATAATAAAAAAATAAATAAAAATAAAATAAATTAAAAATAATATGTATCTATATTGATAATGTGATTTATATTTTATATTTAATCTATTTGATGAGATATTAAGAAGTATTAATATAGATCTGTATTAATTTCTTATATATTATACAAAAAATAATAAATATAATATAAAAAATAATGCAAGAAATAATAAATATAATACAAAAAATAATAGATATAATATAAGAATATATAAAAATTGTTATAATTAATTTCTTTTTTAAAATCCAATATTTATATTATATTAAGAATGAACTTTTTCAAAAACTTTTACTTTTTTTATTGCATTTTTGAAATTATCTAATGATTTTTAAATAGAATTATATAAGTCTATTTCATAAGATATTGTAATTATTTTCTCACTATGTACTTGTATAAAATATTTTCAACTTCATATTATTAGATATAATAATAATTGATAATAATATTAGTCTATTAAATTCATTATTTTATTCTATAACTTTAATAGTAAAAATATAAAAAACTGAATGTATTTTCATATTGTTTGAAAGTTTTAATTTATATGTAATTAATGAAATTTTGTTAATTATATTGAATAATTCAATATATTTAGTATTTAACTTTCTTGTTGATTATTATTTATTGATAAATATATTAATAAAATAAGTTAGTAAAAGAATTTTTTGATCAATTTCAAATTCTTTAAATTTGTAATATTAATTTACATAGTTTTATTATCTATTTTGAGCTTTTATTAATATATCTTTTGCTATTTTTATCATAATACTCTAATATTCCAAAAATTTTTGAGGAACTGCTACTTTAATATTAGTATTAATAATAATAAATATACAAGATTGCTATTCATAATCTAATTTAAATAAAGTATATTGAATGAATATTTATTTATTATTATTATAAGCAAATTCTGCAATAGCTAAATAGTTATTATAGTTATCTTGCTTATATATGATAAAAATTCTAAGCATTTTTTCCAAAGTTCTATTTAATTTTTTAATTTAATTATTAGTTTATAAATAAAAAGCTGTTAATATAATTAATTTAGTATTTAATTAATTGAATAATGACTTTTAAATTTAGCTGGTAAATTTGATATCTTTATTTGAAATAATAATTTTTGACAAGTTTTATAATCTAAATATCTTATTTTTGCAATATTTGATACTGTAACAATAGTATATATTAGAACAAATTGCACTTTTTTTATAAATTTGTTAACAAAAATAGTGATAGAGTTATAATCTTGTTTGATTTTTTGGTAGTTGTACTATAAAATTTATTGTGATTTATTTTCATTTATTTTTAGATATTAAAAGAAATTATAATAATTTACTTAGTTATTAATTATTACTTTTATTATGTTAATATAATTTATAACTGATAATATATTTATGAATATTTTTATTCATCTTTAACTAGTAAAATTATTAATTAATATTAGTATATATTTTGTCAATTTCAACATGTTTAGTGATAGGTATATCATAATATTTAAATAAGATTTTTGTCTTCAAATTTTTGTCATTTGGAATAGTGAGTCTAATGTGTTTTTCAAATAAATTTTATCATTTTTTAATTCAAAATAACAAATTTTTGCTTGTTTTTTTGGTGTTGCTTTTTCTATATAATGCAATATTTTTAAAATTTCTTTAAAATATATATTTTTATTGTATTTTTCAATTAATTAATTAATTTAGTATTAATAGTATTAATTTTAGTAAGATATGTTTGATAAGATAAAGTATTTACTACTATATTTTTTCAGATTTGTATTTTATATCAAAGTTATTAGTTTATAGAATTTCTAACTAGTATGCTTGTCTTTTGAATAAATTATTTTGAGTTTTGATATTTTAAGTGAAATATGATCAATTATTATAGTAAATTTTTGATTTTTTAAATATAATTACCAAAGTTTAATTACATATATAATTACTAATAATTCTTTTTCATGGATTAGATAGTTTTGTTTAGCTAAAGTAAGTTTTCTTAACTTATAAGCAATTAATTATTTATCTTTATCTTGATTTTGACTAATATTGCTCCAATAGTATATTTTGAAGTATTAGTTATCACTGTAAAAAATAATTTTGAATTAGATAATATCAAAATTAATACTGAAATTAAATATTATTTCAAATTTCAAATATTTGTTGTTTTATTTTTTGCTAATTATATTCTTGATCTTTATGTAAAAGTTTTATTAATGATAATACTATTACTAAAAAGTCTTATATAAATTTATAATAATTTACCAATTCTAAAAATAATAACTCAAATATATTTGTTGATTTTGAGCAATTTCTTATTATAGCAATTTTATATTGATCAACTGAAAGTCCATCTGCTAAGATAAAATAACCAAAATATTTAATATATTATTTAAAGAATATATATTTCTTTAACTTAACATACAATTTGTTTTCTTGTAATACTTTTAATACTTTCTTCAAATATTATAAATATTTATTCTTGATTTTATTATAAATTAAAATATTATCCAAATAAATAATAATAAATTTATTTAAGTATTTTTGAAAGATATTATTTATGAGTATTATAAAAGTTGCTGGAGTATTTGTTAATTCAAAGAGTAGAACTAAAAATTCAAAGTAATTATATTTTGTTTTAAATGTAATTTTATAAATAATTTTATTTGTAATACAAATTTAATAGTATTTAGAATATAAATTAAATTTTATAAAATATTTTGATCAAATTAATCTATCTATAAGTTTATTTATATGGGATAATAAATATTTATTTTTGATAGTAATTTTGTTGAGAGCTCTATAATAAATATATAGTCCTAAAGTATCTTTTTTCTTATAAATAAATAAAACTGATACTCTAAATAGTAATACACTTGGATGAATAAAATTTTTATTTAACAAATTAATTAATTGAATCTTTAATTCATTTTTTTTATAAATAATAATTTATTTTCAGATATTAAATTAATTTTATAATAAATTGTTTTGTAGATAAAAGTTTTGCTAGTTTTGAAAAGATATCTGAAAATTATTGAATTATTTTATATGTTTTTGGTATTAATCTCTTTTTTTTGTCTTCAATATTGAATAAATATATATCAAATAATTTAGTATTATTTGAATAATTAGATAATTATTAATAAGAGATATAAATAGAATTACAACTAGGTAAATTAGAATTAATATCTGTTGTGATTTTAATAAATTTGTTATTATAGTTAAAAATCAGAGTATTATTTCTTCAATTTATAATTAAATTAGTATAAAATATCCATAATTTTCTAAG